TTTTTTTTTATTTTTTTTTTTTTTTTTTATTTTTTTTTATTTTTTTTTTTTTTGAGACAAGGTCTTGCTTTGTTGCCCAGGCTGGAGTACAGTGGCTCAATCATGGCTTACTGCAGCCTTGATCTTGCAAGCTCAAGTGATCCTCCTGCCTTAGCCTCCTGAGTAGCTGGGACAACAGACATGTCCCACCATACCTGGCTATTTTTATTTTTTTATAGAGATGAGGTCTTGCTATGTTGCCCAGGCTGGTCTCCAGCTCATCAGCTCAAGCAGTCCTCCCCCCTCAGCCTCCCAAAGTGCTAGCATTACAGGTGTGAGCTACCAGCCCCAGCCTTTTTGAACTTTTTTGATCATGGACCCCTCACAGTAAGTTTTGTGAGAATGGACCAAGCATATTTATTTATTTACAGCTAATACTGCCAAACTGATCTATTGCATACATAATCAAATATACATGGAAATAGAAAAGTTAACAAGAATAAGAAAACAGATAAAAATGTGAGTGCTGATGTTTTGCTTTATGATCTCCAGCAGATCTCTGTGCATCTGCTGTGGGGCAGCTACCCCAGTTTTGGAGACTACTGGGGGCTAGGAAATGGTGATTGGGTGTGATTGCTTGCCAGTGGCCCCAGCATCAGGAGGCTAGATCAGAGCCACCAGAGCTCGGAGGCCAGCCCTGTCTGAGCTTTCCCACTTTGGTGCTATGAGGCACTGAGGTATCAGGAGCCACAAGCAGACACCTTATGTACCTACCACCAAACAGATGTGCACATGCCGCTGTTTTCTTAGTCTCCTCTCCAATCTGGCTACTTTGCCTCGATGCTAGCATACTCCTCAGGGTGTGTCATGATCAATAATGGGAGCTGCCCATTAGAACTACTTTGCCTCGGCAGAAATTGGAACTGTGGCCGGCTCCAGGAAGCTTGTAAAATAGGAGAGACTTGCCTGCAATGCCCTCTCTCTCCCTTGAGAGGTAGCCAGGCTTCTCCATTCCCCTCTGTCTTTCCATAGTTTGCTATTGCCATGGACTAGCTAAATGTCATGGGTTGGGATGCCTCAGAAGCAGAGCCTGAGATAAACATTTGAGAGGAAGAAGTTTATCTGGAAGGCAGGGAGAAAGGAAGTAGGGCAGTGGGGAAGTGAGAAAGGAAGGGAAGGCAATCAAGAGAGATTAAGTCCAGCCTGAAGAGGTGGAGAGGGCAGCCATTTTTCAATCTTAACATCTGTACACCTTTATGTTATTGCAGCATTCTCATGAGGAAAGAGGTTCATTTTGATTTCTAGTTCCCCTCTCCCATTTCACACCCTAGTTAAGTACTGTAGCAAATGCATAGCTATGGAAGCCCCCTTCCCACCTCTTTCCTCTGGCTGATGCCTGGTCAGTCATCAGGTCTCGGCCCATGCATCACTTCTAGGAAGCCTTCCTCATCCCCGTTTCTGAGACAGGGCTTTTGCTTTGTGCCCCTGGAATGGCTCCTACCTATTTTATTAGCTATTTTATCATACCATATTGCTTTCATTTATTCATGTAATAGATATTTATTATGTGCCTGACACTGTTGTAGGTACTTGGTGTGTATATTCCAATATCCAATCGTGTATTTTTTTTTTCTCTGCCATTTGTGTCTCTGTCCCTCAGCAGTGCCTGCCGCATAGGAGGTGCTCAATAAGCATTTGATGAATTGAATGGAAGGACACCAGGCATCTTAGTGTGAGGGTGATTTGGCATTGCCATGGCCTTTTCCAGGAGCCACCTCATCTCTCACCTTTCCTATTGGCTGTTTCCAAATGACGACATGCCTATTGAGAGATAAATTGACCTACCTTGACTGTTAGGGGTATACATCTGTTAATGAGTAGGTTTAAAACTTAACATCGGGCCGGGCGCGGTGGCTCACGCCTGTAATCCCAGCACTTTGGGAGGCCGAGGCGGGTGGATCACAAGGTCAAGAGATCGAGACCATCCTGGTCAACATGGTGAAACCCCGTCTCTACTAAAAATACAAAAAATCAGCTGGGCATGGTGGCGCGTGCCTGTAATCCCAGCTACTCAGGAGGCTGAGGCAGGAGAATTGCCTGGACCCAGGAGGCGGAGGCTGCAGTGAGCCGAGATCGCACCATTGCGCTCCAGCCTGGGTAACGAGAGCGAAACTCCGTCTCAAAAAAAAAAAAAAAAAAAAAAACTTAACATCATTCTGCTCGTTATTGTTTCTTTTTTCAGGTTGGGAGAACACAGCTCCACTCAGCTATAGGAAAGCCAGAGAGCATTTGAGAAGAGGCTGAAGCTGGAATTTTGCAAACACATAAGGCAGTAGAGAGTAATGATTATAATAAGCAGGGGTTCTAGAGCCAAAGTGCCCGGGATCAACTCCCAGTTCTGCCCCTCATTTGCTGTTTGACTCTAGGCTACAGTTCCTAATGGGTGAAGAGGGATCATAATAGTATATACCTCAGAGGATGGGGTGTGGATGAAATAAGGTTAACGTATGTCAAATTTAAAAGTGCCTAGAACATGGTCAGTGCTCGATAGATGTCATCATTATGGTGATTTATTCACTTACATCAATGTTGGTTCATTTAACAATCGGAGGCTGACTATAAGACCCCAGTGGTACTCAAAGTAACATTTCAGTGTTCTTTGTACAATAGAAAAATACAGTGAAGTTGTTCATTTAAAGCAAATTCTAAGTTTTCAACAAATCACATAAAGGGCACAGCCAATCCAATTCATGGTCCAGGGGCTGGCCATTAAAATAACCAACTAAATCATGAGCTTTTTCTCTGCTTTCCTTTCTTTCTGTGGTTAAACAAATATTTGGTGAGTACCTCTTTTGCATTCAGTAACGAGTAGGTTTAAAACTGAGGATGTGACCAGGTGCAGTGACTCACACCTGTAATCCCAGCACTTTGGGAGGCCAAGGCGGATCACCCGAGGCCAGGAGTTTGAGACCAGCCTGGCCAACATGGTGAAATCCCATCTCTACTAAAAATACAAAAATTAGCCAAGTGTGCTGGTGTACGCCTGTAATCCCAGCTACTTGGGAGGCTGAGACAGGAGAATCGCTTGAGCGTGGGAGGTGGAGGTTGCAGTGAGCCCAGATCGCGTTACTGCACTCCAGCCTGGGCAACAGATGGAGACTGTGTCTCAAAAGAAAAAAAAAAGAAAAAGAAAAAGCACCACACAACTGGGGATGCCAAGAGGAATGAAATAGATCCTTTCCCTTTAGGATTTCACATGTATAAAGGGCAAATTATATAACACTTTGAGCAGCTCTATAATTGGACGCACACATGGCTTTGAGAGCCAGAAGACAGAGTGACTACTTCCCCATTGGTGATTCAGGAAAGGCCTCACACAGAGGAGGTGACATTGGAATAACTGTATCTAGACATAGCCATCATTTAATGGCTGAGGATTGAATAGGCATTTGGCTGGGAGAGCCAGCTGTATAGCTACATTGTCCACTGTTTTTTCGGAGCCTCAGTAATTATGCTATCATTTACAATTTGTGTGGCAGCCTTATCAGGTCCTACTCTTGGCGTCCCCACCATGGAAACCTGAATGGTTATATTGCCTCATAATGAGGCCCTCTGGTGATGTTTAATATACTAATAGGAGGGCAGAAGCCCAGAGCCACCTCACCAGTTATTTTTCAAGTGACTCCATCCAATTAAATGGCAAACTAGGTAACCACTTTACTAGATCTCCTGTGGCTCTCAATTGCAGAAAGGAATCTTGCTAAAGAGCAGCTTGGGTGGGGTTATGAAATGGTTATGGCTGGAGTCCTGTAAATTTTAGCTGGCGAAACCTAAGACCAGTAAGCTTAAAAACATGGATGCTGTGTCACCAGCTGGGAAGAGTTTGCCAGGGAAAGTGCTGGTGGCGCAGCCGTGGTCAGCGTGAGCCTCTGGGAACAAGAGCACCGCTAGATTGCCTCGAACATAGCAGAACTGTGGCTGCTGGTGTCCATTACTGCCAGGGGCACTTTGAATTTTCAAGTATGTCTTCCTCCTCTCCCAAACCCAGCAGCATTATAGGCCAACTTTCCTTCCCCTCTCTGCAGCAAAAAGGAGGTGATTCTCCCTTCACAGATAGGTCCTCCAACAAGGAGCTATTGAACAGCTGGTAGAGTGCCAATGTCTTAGGACCCAGTGGCTGCTCCCTTAAACCCACACCTTTCTAGAACCAAGCAAGAATGTTTAGTTTTTCCAGTTCCTTCTCTTAATTGTACCAGGCTACTGTAACGTTTTCTAAAAATTATCCTCAGTTTACCTAAAGAATGCTTTTCTGGGCCGGGGATGGTGGCTCACGCCTGTAATCCTAGCACTTCGGGAGGCCGAGGTGGGTGGATCACGAGGTCAAGAGATTGAGACCATCCTGGCCAACATGGTGAAACCCCATCTCTGCTAAAATACAAAAATTAGCTGGACGTGGTGGCGCATGCCTGTAGTCCCAGCTACTCAGGAGGCTGAGGCAGGAGAATTGCTTGAAACTGGGAGCCGAGATTGTGCCACTGCACTCCAGCCTGGTGCCTGGTGACAGAGCAAGACTCTGTCTCAAAAAAAGAAAAAAATAAATAAACAGTGCTTTTCTGCTCTTATTTACTGAAATTCTCTTTTCTATTTTGTACGGATGGCAGATTATTTATGCAAACAGTAGCCTGGTCTTGCCCATACAGAGCCTGGTCCCTTTGGAAGTAGTCACGTGGCTGCTGACTTTGCAGCCCACTACTTGAGCACATCTTCAGGCCAGTAACAGAGCAGGGCTGGGGCAGAGAGCTGCACTCACAGCCAGCACACTGAATCCTAGATTCCTGGCTCTGGGCTCGCCTTCCAGGCTGAAAGGCAGAGCAACCTGGCCCTGTTCTAGTTATTTCTTTTTGTATGAGTGTGTATATATGTTTGTTTGTTTAAGCAAGAGCTCTCTCTGCAGAGTGGGGGCTGTGTGTGTGTTGGGGGGTGCTTCAGAGAGAGCTGAAATTGTACCTCTTTTCTTTTAGACCTCTGCATTCCACCATAGAGAATTTTTCTTTCTCGTCTTCATTTCTTTTGAAACACCTGGGGTGAGAAAAAAAACCTCTGCATTGGCCAAACAGAAGAAACAGGTAATATGTTTGTTTATTCTTAGCGATTTGGGGCAAGCAGAAGCCTACATCATAAACATATATTGTGTGGCAATGGAACAGGGAATGTGTATTCGTTGGAGTATATCTTACTGCTTTGCAATTTCTCAGAATGATTGTTCTCAGAGATGCTGGTTGTAAATCAGTTGCCATCAGTTGAAGAAGATGTACAGATGACTTGGCAATCTGAAGGTTTGTGGCCTATGTCAAATGAACTTGATATTTGGAAAAACTCCATGGTCACTTGGGTTGAGAGCTAGAAAATGAGGGAAGGGATCCTTCCAGAAACCTTCTAGGTCCCCTCAGGGAGTGTTCTCCAAACTCTACTGCATTCCTTCATATTTAGAAATCTTCCTTTAGCTCCCTTGGCTCCTTGGCATCTTAGAGGTTTCCAGCTATCTGTGAGACTGGAAACAGAATTCCTTACAGTGTCCAAAATTCTCTTTAGTGATTTAGTTATTATGCAAAGTGGTCAGATTAGATCCTGAAACCAAAGCATAGCCTTTTAGTGGGAAGACATTTTTGTTCTTTAATGATTAAGCAGAGCGAGCCTTCAGTTCTGCCACTAATCAGCTACGCCAGGGAGTATGTTATTTACCTCCTGAGTCTCAGTTTTGTTCATCTGTAACATGGAGATGACAATACTACCTTGAAAGTTTGCTGTGAGAGTGAACTGAAATAATAGAAATATAAAGCACCTGCTGTGCTGGGTAAATAGTAGTCCCTTAATCAATAGTAGTGATTTTAGCTACCATTATGATTGCTGGTATAGCATTCGTTCAGATCTTAGAGCTCTTAAGGGAGAAGAGCCCATTGCTTTGTGACTCTCAGTTATCCCAGAACCTGTAGGTACCCAAGGGGTTTAGTCTTTGGGAGGCCCCAGACAAAGCATTCTAAAGAAAGAGACTTGAACAAATACAGTGGGTCCCCACCCATGCATGCCCTCTCCTAACTTATCAGCTAAAAAGAGTTGGTCTTCGTTCAAGCCAGTTTTTTCCCACCACTAAGTCCTCAGTATAAGTCAGTAAGATATGCATTATTATCCCTGTTTTCTTATGAGGAAACTGAGGTACAGAGGAATTAATGACTAGCTGAGAATTCAAACTCCTGTTGTCTGACTTCTAAACCCAAGGCTCCACTGGGCCAGCATTAGGCAGTTAGGAACAATAGTTCTTGAGATGCCTTACTTCAAAAGGGCTCCTTGCTGGGCTGTTTGGGAAATAGTGATCAGCTCTTTCTGAGAGATTCACAGTGTATGTTCATATATTAAAGGCTCTGAGAAGTCCTGCAGTAAAGAAACCTTTTCAACCCTACATACCCTGAACTTATTATGTGATGGTGGGACCTTTATTTTGGCCTTAGTCCTAGAATCATAAACTACATAGAACTACTCTTCCACAAATACACTCTGGAAAACCTGGCACCAGGCCAAGCTGTTTCCTGATTACAATCATGCCTGCTGTACCAGCAGACACTTTCA